ATATATAAATATTATAAACATTATTAACTCGTAAACATTTTTCATGCATTATTATGGCACAAACAAAAGTTTCACTTTCTGTATTTCAAAAAATTAGTAAATCTTTTTTGTAATGAATTTTTTTGAAGAAAAAAATAATTTATTTTGCTATTCAGTGAAAGAAAAGTGTAAATCACGTCATAATTATTTTTAGAAAGTGTAAAAAAAGCATAGGATTATATTTGAGAAATGTTTTTTAAAAGCTTTTTTTGTTTATTAACGACTGAAAGATGCCATTTAATATATGCATATTATTAATTGAATAATTATGACGTGAAGTTAACTGGTGAAATCTTAATTTATGTATTATTTTAAATAAGATGACTTGGATTTTAAATAATACATAAATTAAGAATTCACCAGTTAACTTCAACATTCAATTAATATTTTGGTTAATAGTGTTTATTGAGATTTATAATCATTGAATACTACTAAAGTACTAGGTCTTAAATTAGAATATACCATCAGCGCTTGGAACTTACTTAGTTTTTTCCTTCAACTCCATATGTTATCATTTTTTTTAACATTTGGAAAAATAGAAAATGAAACTTTTGTTTTTGCTTTTTTAGGTGGTTAATATATTTTCGAATTTATTCCTTTTTTAAATGATAGACTTGCAACAATGTCACTTTTCAAATTAAGTAAAAATACTACTATTCAAAAAAAAGATAAAAAATTTTTATTTGTATTTTTACTTAATTGCTGAAAACAAATTAATTTGTTTGAAATTGAATAGTCCAATTTTTTATTATTTAAGTACAGTAAGTATTTTTACTTAATAAAAGTAGTACTGTTATGACTTAAAATATTGTTCTATTATCTTATAAATCAAACAATTTATAACTATATCTGGCATAAATAATCGAACAATATTTTACATTTATTTTCTAGGACTAATATTCATGGAATATTTTCAATAAAGTATGCCACGTTGTTAATATTCACTATGTTAACAGTTATTACTATTTATACTTTTTATTTTTTCTTTTTAAAAGAACGATCTTATTTGTATTTAAATACTCAAAATTCATTAATCTGAATTTACAAGTTTAATTCTTCTTACGTTACCATTTTAAAATCTCAAGGATGCTACTACTATTATGATTTATAAAATTAAATGAGCTACTATAGCAGAGATGGTTTGTTTAATAGTTTAGAAGAAAGAGTAATTTAAATTTTTTAAAAACTTGTTTAATAATAAAAAATTAAATTGCTATTTCCTTAAAAATACAAAATCGAAACATGAATTGAATAATAATCTTGTAAATGACAATTTTACGTATAATAATCTTGTATTCAAGAAAATAGTTAATAATTTCATGCATAGCAATTTTGTATTTAAGTAAATAATAATTTCATGCATAATAACCCTGTAATAACAGTTCTGAATCTGCTAATTGGTCCTGTCTATTATTAATTTTATTGAGATCATTTGCTCCAGAATATACTTACTTACTTATTCAACCGTTTACATGAATTACTTGCACACAATATGTATTTTTTGACTTAATTTTAAAGTATTTGTGATGATATAATTTGCATTTTTAAAAATATTTGCAAGTATACCTTGTAAACGAACATAATTATAACACTTAAAATAGTACAAACAATTTAGACAAACAATTTTATAGATGTTATTTGCTGCATTGGAGTCATTTACAACAAATTCAGTTGTAGCTCAAGAAAATTCTATCAATGAATTATTCAAAATTCCACTCACTCATCATTTACTACCTATTTTACTTATGATAGTAGTATTACTTACTTTACTACTAGCGTGTTTCTATGACTGCAAAGTTAACAGGGATTGCTACAGGTACATTTTTATCCTATAAAATTTTATCAGTAATATAGAATTAAATAAGTTTACAATTTTTTATTATTTATATAAATCATAGCAGCCAATACTTTGAATGAAATTTGTTTTTATATTACAATATTCATGACATTTAAATACATATCAATAATTCTACTTTTTTTTTAAATTTTAAACTCTCAAATTTGCAGTACTTTTACTTTAAGAATGATCAGCACGTGTTGCACAGCCCCTTCCAACATTATTTTCACTAAAAATCGTGTATAATTTCAAATAATTCACAAATTGTTTTTTATTTTTTGAAGTTATTTTGTTTTTATTACAACTTACAAACTATATCCTTTTATACAAAGAATTTTACAAACTTTTGATCTGAAACTGTACATGCAAGTAATGAAACAAAATACTTCCCTCCAAAATCCATGATATAATTCAGGACATCATCAGGATCAGTTTCTGCAAATACTGCAGATAAGACGGGTATTTACTTGTATGATGGTGAAACAGGTGAATCAAGGACTTGTAGCGCTAAATAAGAATAGTAAAACGATTGTTTCCGATAATTATTTTTCATATACATGTAAACTTACATCTGTACAATTGTTCTCAATCTAAAACAAGCAAAAACTGTCTGATCTATTAGAGCAAAAAAAAAACTTCATTAGTATTAATGACCTATATCAATATCTATCCAGGTAACTATCCATTTTGCATGTAATCACCTTCTCTTTGTTATAATATTTTATCTTTCATGCAGTATTAAAAAATTTTACGAATATCTTAAATTTCTTACACAAAATAAACTTCATAATCCACTTTGATACTCAAAATTAATCAAACAAAATCAGTAAATATGTTCAAATAATAACAAAACTTTATTAGAGTTAGAAGCTTCAAGTTTATTATTAACTTTGCTTACTTATAAATAGAAATGTAATGTAGTACAAGGAAATAGATAAAATGCAAAATAAAGTTTAGAGTTTAACTATCGAACAACTTAGAAGTGATTAGAATAGAGAAATAGTCCCCTGATATAATTTTCGAGCTAGTTTTTATTCATCACCGGAACATCGAAATAAGTACCCATACTTTCCTTTCACAACAAATTTAAGAGGTGAACTCTTTATTTTGTTTTGATAATAGATATTATATCGGTCGAGCGTATTGCACATTTCCATATGCAAACTACGAATGACAGTGATGGTAGCTAATGACTACCTCCTAGCAATTTCTTCTCACCAAAACCTTCAATGTTTCGCACACTTTCATCCAATTTACTCCTCAGACAATGCTAGAATGCGAAACTGAATGTAATCAAAGCAAAATCGTATTCCCATCTACGTTTCAAATTATAAATATTTATATTATTTCACTCATTGTCTGTTCATAGCTCCAATTTTAGGTAAAAAGCTAAAATTACATCTCGATAATATTTTATGCTCAAGTTATTTCCAATGCAATACAATCTCATCATGTAACTTGCAATGTACATTTATCTGGAAAATGTATTAATTCAGTTATGGCTTAATTTTAGTACATAAACTAAACCGTGCAGAAATCTACAGACTTTACATAATTATAATCCACTTATGAAATGCTAAGTGATCAAGAGCAGACAAATGCTTAATCAACGCATTGCACTCAATCGATGAAATCACCATCATTAATGAAGGAACCTTAGAATTTACATTTTCAAAATCTGAAAAGTTAAACACATTTCTATCAACTACATAGTGGAATACTTATTGAAGCAAGAGATATGCGTAACCATGAGACTATTTCTCTATTCCAAATAAACTTTAAAACATAAGTTAGTCATGTAACGCAAGATAACAAAACTAAAATAAAAGTGATCATGTATTTTGAAAAACATAGTTCAAAAAACGAACTGAGATTTATAAAAAAATGCTGGCTATTAGTAGTTTTCTGCATATAAATTAGCTGACAACAATATGTAATAACAGAATTGCCTTTGTAAACATGGTTATCATTAGATTCTTGAACGAAATTACCAGAGAATTAATTACTTTAATTTTATGCGCATTTCTTAGTAACAATTGATTTTCCCTCATCATCATATTCAGCCTTACTGATCCACATTTGTTGAAAAGCACCCTATAATTATTTTTTCTTAATTTCTTCACAGTACACCAATAGTATAAGTGTATAAATATTAAAACAATAATTACCAAAGAAGCTAAAATCGATCCTCCAATCCACGCTCCAAATCGCCGTTCCATTGGAGTTGGTGCTGCATACACTCGTAATTTTATAGTCTGAAAATTTAATAATCATTTTATCGTAATATCGATTTTATACTGAAAAAATATACACAAAGTTAATTCTTACCGGCGGACATTTATGAGCAAGATCATGATTCAATCTCTCGGTGAATCCCATCAATAACGAATTACCTCCAGTTACCATCAACCCACTATACATTGTCTAAAACTTTTCCAAAACATTGAAATACTACAGAACGACATAACATTTACAAACTGATGAATACGATCTTCAAATTCCTCACTGGTCGTATGTCAATGTCACACATTCCACAAGCTGTAGCTGCAATTTGAGAAACTGACATTATCGACGAAGCATTTGGTGTCTGAAAATGTTGAGAGTCAATATGTACTTTTTCTTTTTCGAAGAAAATGTAAAAAATTAATGCATTACATAATTATAAACCAGGAAAAACTACCTTCAAATAGTTGGTATCAAATAGACCTTCTGGAATTTTAATTCTTTCTCCTTGGAATTCTTTGCTATATCCATTTGGAAAACAAAAAGGTGATGAAGGCAATTTTTCCGCAAATCTATAACAATTAAAGAAGACACATTACTGAAGTAAATTTAACTTTTTAAATAATCAAAATAATCCTTTTTATAAACATTTACTCTACACTTACTTGAAAACACAAATATGGAAAGAATACACTTAGAGTAGCAATTCCTGCACATAAAACTTACTCAACATCAATGGGAGTATCACAACACTGCAGAACAGAGGCAGCTAGATCTTCAAGAACTTGCTGAAAACATGACAACTTCAAAGATTTATAGTTACAGCATTCACTATTTACAACAGTCCTGATGATAAACCTTTTCCATATACGTTTCATAGCTTTTCGTAACTTCTGGGAGATTTTTCTTTTGAGTCCATATGGGTGGTTCCATTTCATTAACTACTTCCTATAAAATATATAAAGGAGTGAAACATCAAGTACTGTTTGAGGAACTTATTTGAAGCACCAAATATAAAAAGCAAAAACAATACTTTTGATGCAATTTTGTAAGAAGGCACAACATCAATTTTTTGTTCTTTAAGCATTAAACGACACTGCTCTGCGATTGTATCACCACCAACTGGTTGCTTTACTACCGCTAAAAATATATATAAATGAATAGATACAGTTATAACTTTCAAAAGTATCTCATTTATAAACCATTAAATGTAACTCCAGCAAATTAGTATGGAAATAAGTGTCAAAAACTTCAGGACTCCAAAACCTTACCATGAGTTATGCAATATCCATCAAAAACAGGAATAGCGGAAGTTTGCGTAGCACCGCTGTCTAAAATTAATCCAGCTGTTCGACCATTAGCATAACTAAAATAAATAAATAAATATATATATATATATAGCAAAACACGATTATACGAGAAATTCACTAGTTGTTCGAAAATTTCCAAATCATCAACCATGTATATATATATATACGCAGAAAAGACTGTGTACATATATTTTGATGATAAAGTTATACCAAGCAAGGACAGCATTTTTGGCAATATAAAATGTGGGGACATTGTATTTTTCGAACATTAGTTCCGTCAGCTTTTCACGATTTGCTTTAGTGTTCCACTAAAATTAATTACCGAATTAATTATTTTAAAGTATTCACAAAGTAAGATAGTGCGCAATACATCACTGTAAAACAGATAATCAAGCTCAAATTAAGAAGATTGAGACGAGAGTAAACACACTTAGAAACTGCAAAATAAAACAATAAAACAAAAAATTGAACTCACTGCAGGCTCAGTAAATAAGACAGGCTGATATTGACTTTCAGAAAACAAAACACGACTATACGAGTAATCCACCAGTTGTTCAAAAATGTCCCAATCATCAACTAAAAAGATAATTTTTAGTTCAGATTAATAGATGTGTCCTCGAAATTGATTTATGTGATTAATAAAGTAACCTACTCATGCAATCTTTCATATAGCTACAAATTTCTGTTCGTGGTCGTGCAACATTAACAAAAGTCTTTCCAATAAAATATTCTTTCAGTTTGGTTTTTCCAGCGCTTTGATCTATAGTACTGTCCATCTCATCCAATATTTCGCGAACGCCAACTTGACTCGGTATGTCACCCTTCGAATTAAGATTTATAAGCAACGATTTGAATAAAAGCACGTTTTTTCTCAAGATATAAATTGCAACAAAAGAATAGGCATTTCTTCGTTTAATCTAAAAAATGAATTACTTAAAAAATATGGATTATACTGGGCTAAAAATATGAAGAAATTTGACTACAAAATAGTAGAACACAAAGTTTCTAAAGAAAACTAAAAAGTACATTCCTATTCCCATGATATTTCACATGGATTTTACCATTATAAGAATATACTAAGAGGATGTACATGGATTTTACTAGTTGTAGTGCGGGACTACTAAAGTGTAAATTATTCAAATTTTGAAATGTTCTTAGATTTATAAAATACTAGCCAGTAAAATATCTAGTAAAGTGATCAAGCACTGCATTCATAAAACAATGATAATAATAATAATAGTAATAACAATAGTGATAATGAAAGTACTATTACTAGTAATAATAATAATAATCAATGACTCACTTTTGGGAACTCTTCCCCAGCAAAGCCTACTCTAAATGTGTGTGAACCTGGGTCAAAAACCAAAGCACCGACTTCATCTGTAAAAAATTCAAATTAGAAAAAATAATTGATTTTTTAAAATAATTTTTGAAAGTATAAACCAATAAATGTCCCAAAACAAGAGAAAAAAGAATCAAAAATTTCCAGTTCTCAATTACTTTCTTGTGGTCGAAAATAGATGATCGAAATTTGAAAGTAATTCATTTTAAGGGCTAAAATCGATACTAAAAAGTAAATGTGTTGCCTTTTATTGTTACATTTATTACAACTACAGAAGTCGAACTCACCTCCTCCATAGATTCCTCCACTCATCACTATGCTTAACTTCTTAACTCTGCAACAATTCAAAAGATCAATTGGCCTCAAATAAGTCACTTGTCTAGATCAAATCAAATCCATCACAAGAAAAAAATCTATATCTAAACAAACACAAAAAATTGAAACAAATTGTATAACTACCAGCATTGTTTTAAATTTTTGCATCATTAATTTATTATTTCAATCAAAGTGCCATAATCGTAACCTAACGTTCTTCTACTACAATTTGTATCACTTTGACTAATTGAAGATGAAATTGTTGTTCATTAATATATTCATTTATTTGTGATTGGTTGTTTTTTATTGTGATGATTTCTTTGGAGGTGGGTGGATTCAGTTTTTTTGAAGTCGTACGTAATTTTAATGTATGAGATTTGATTTGAATTATTGGTATATATAAGTGTACTACGAAGAATTGCGCATTAATAGACTAAGGCTGCTTTGTTAATTTTATGGCATTTTATACAGTTTACAATAGTAAGTTTATGAAATTCATCTTAGATTAGAAATTGTTTTAAGCGGAAGAAGCTTTTTGCTGCTCACAGAATTTTTCTCATATCTTATGATATCATCCTGAGAAAAAAAAAATTTAGACAGATTGGATTGTTTTACACTAATGTAGAGATATTCATGATCAATAAGGAGCTCGTAGTTAAGAACACTTCGTATAATAATAATGAGGAGAAAGATTCATTAGTAACAATTAATTGTCTATACGTAACTAATAATTGCCTTACTAACTAACAGTTGTCTTATTCGTCATTTTTACATATATGTGATAATTTGTTTTAGGAAAACTCAAATATTTATGCTGTGGCAAACGCTGATCTAAAATGAACTGTGTAATCAAGTTCTAATTTCAAGGATTTATTTTAATAACGATAAAGGTTATTCTTTGTTGATATACATAGTTAT